TGAGACCAATCGCGAAGCGAATCAAAAATAACACCTGGCCTGGCCTCAGTAAACGAACACGCCGAAGGGGTACAGGACGACTACCCCGAACTGGTTCTTAAGCTGAGGCCACCATACACCACGTAAATACTTCACATCTGCTTGCAATCAGGGTTGGACGGCAACGCTCCCGACATGCCAACAGATGGGGCGGAAGGCTCCGTGGCTGCCACGGCTGACAGCGCCGCCCCCGCCTCCGCACAAATCTTGTTGATCTCGTCGCGCTGGGCTGCCGCGATCGCCCGCCCATCGAGAGCGGCTCCGCCATGACTACCATGATCAGCACCACCCCCACGAGGAAAGAGCGCTCCCAGAAGAGGAGTTTTGTCCTCATAGGCAGCTCCACCAGCACGAAAACCACCTCCTGTTCTATGATGGCCTCTGGCTGCCGCCTCTGCAGCTGCCGTTGCCGCCTGCGCAGCCGTAGCCGCCTCTGCCCGCATAGCGGCGGCCTTGACCTCTCGAATCCTCTTGATCACATCTTCCACCTCGTCGGGCTCCTGCGAAAATTGAAACACTCCATCGCCGAAAGGCTCCCTCGCCGTATCCTTTTCACACACAAAGGTCCCAGCGCTGTAGCTGATCGCGTCAGGCTCAATCGTCGCCTCCCCGAACTCACACGCGCTGTTCCCAGAGTAATTGGTATACAAGGAGTACTGGCTAGGGATAACGGGCTCTATCTTCGCGTTCTTCTTCTCACACTCCCTGATCGCACCGCTGTAGCCGGTCACGTCGGGCTCTATCTTCGCATCCAACTTCCCGCACGCGCTATCCCCAGAGCTGTGGCGAGAGATACTAGCAGGCTCCAGTTTCGCCTTCCTCTTCTCGCACGCCCTGATCGCAGCGCTGTTGCTGAACATGTTGGGCTCTACCTTCGCCCCCAACATCTCGCACGCGCTATCCCCAGAGCTGTGGCTAGAGATACTAGCAGGCTCCAGTTTCGCCTTCCTCTTCTCGCACGCCCTGATCGCAGCGCTGTAGCTGAACTTGTTGGGCTCTACCTTCGCCTCCAACTTCTCACACGCGCTGCTTCTAGAGCGGTGGCTAGGGATAACGGGCTCTAACTTCGCCACCTTCTTCTGGCACGTCCAGATCGCAGCATTGCGGTTGTACGTATCGGGCTCTGTCGTCGCCTCCGACTTCTCGCACGCACTGTCCCCTGGGCTGTGGCTCGGGATGACGGGCTCATGCTTCGCCTTTCCCTTGTCGTACGCCATGGTACCAGCGCTGTAGCTGATCGTGTCGGGCTCTATCATCGCCTCCCACTTCTCGCAAGCACCCGCAGAGTTGTGCTTAACCTCGTACTCGGGCGCGACGGGCTCCCACACGCCAGGGAACACCTGCGACGGCAAGAAAGAACCGCCTGCCACCTCGCCCGCTCTGCTCCAGTCCCCTGGCGGCCGGGGGAAGGAGGTCTTCACGTCCCCTGCCGTCGCCTTCCACTTCTCGCACTCGCTGTCGCCCGTACCGTGGCTAGCGATGTCGGGCTCTGGCTTCGCCTTTCCCTTCTCGCACGCTGCTATTGCAGTACTGTAGCTGCTCATGTGACGCCCCTCCGGTTGGCACCACGCCTCCTCTTGGATCGTCGTCCACGGGAGGCCACACCAGTCGAGTTTCGTTGCTTTCTGCCGTTCGACGCGTTTTGTTTCCTCATATTATTTCTATGTGGCTGTCTTGCTTCGTATTCCCTTCGTTTCTACCCCTTACCCATGTCATTTTTCTTTTTTTTTGTTTTTCATCTTTTTTCCTTTTCTTTTTAGTTCTTCATTTCTCTTCCCGTTAATTTGTTTATTTTTTCAATTCTTCTTTTTGTCCTTCCACCTGGCGGCATTTGGCCAACCGTAGCCTGCGGTTGGCGCGTCTGCGGCTCTTGCTGACCCCGGACCTGGGGGGCCACCCTCCTTCGCAGAGGGGCCCTCCCCACGCCTCGGCCAGCATCCTCACGCGACGCCGCACAGCAAGGGGCTGGGGGCCATCGCTCCGCGGGCCGCGCGCCGCGGCCGCGCTGCGAGGCCACCTTGAGGCGGAGGCGGAGGCGGAGGCGGAGGAGGAGGAGGAGGAGGCGGCGGCGGCGGAGGCGCAGGCGGAGCCGGAGGCGGAGGCGGAAGCGGAGGCGGAGGCGGAGGCGGAGGAGGAGGAGGAGGAGGAGGAGGAGGAGGAGGAGAAGGAGGAGGAGGAAGGTCCCCTTCACAGGCGAGAGTCCCCCTGGCAGAGCTCGAGCGCTCGGCTGCGCCCTTTGCCTGCGAGGAGGTGGCGCCTCGCACGGGCGAGGCCTTCCTGCAGCAGCAGCGTGAGTCACGCCAGCAGTTCTGGCCCGCAGCAGGGCGGGGGTGCCTTTTTTTTTTTTTTCTCTCTCTCTCTCTCGTCGTGCTCATCGTCCTTGCCGTCGTCCTCCTCATTCCCCAAGCAGTGCTTGTACTACGGGGTTGTTACTTCTCTCACGGAGGAGTTGCCTGGGTCCCCGCGAGATTTCGCCACGTTGCCGCCCGTGGCTGCCTCGTGGCCGCCTCCAGCTTGCACCAGGTGTGCTGCACCACACATCTTGCACATCCACGGTGCAATAACTAACTGTTTAGAGTCCACGCTGTCTTACATCTTCCGTATACGTACATCTATACATATACAAGACTGCATTGGCGCTGCGCGCCATGCACCTTGGTCCTTTAGAGTTTCGCAGAACTGGTTCTGCTAGAATCTCGACGGGGTGGGGAAGAGGAACATGAAGAGGGTCAGGAGGAGGAGGGAGAGGAGGAGGAGGAGGAAGAGGAGGGGGAGGTGCAGAAGGAGCGAAACATACGAGGAGGAGGAGGAGGCTGAGAGGAGAAGGAGCAGAGAGTATACAGAGAAGGAGGAGAAACAGGAGGATAACGGGAAAGAGAAGGAGGGAGACGGGGAGAAGAAGGATGAAGGAAAAGAAATATTGGAAGGCTTCTGGGGGCACCATTGAAGCTCAGTGTTGGGAGCCCTGATGTTATGTAGCGTTGTGGGGCCTCTTGGGAGTCTTCTTGGGGCCCTTTTGGATCCCTTTTAGGGCCCTGTTGGGGTTCTCTTGGGTCGTCTCGGGGCCCTTTTGGGCCGTCTTGTAGCGTCTTGGAGGCCTTTGGCCGTCGTGGGGTCTCCTGCAGGCGTCTTGGGGCCCTCTTGGGTGCCTCTTTGGGCGCTCTTGGGGCTCTCTTGGGCCCGTCTTGGGGCCCTCTTGGGCTGTCTTGGGACTCTCTTGGGTCGTTTTCGGGCTCTTTGGGGGGGCCTCTTTTGCTATCTTGGGGCGATCTTTGGAGCCTCTTGGGCCGGTTTGGGCTGATGTTGGCCCGAAAAAGGGAGAACCAGACAAATTTTTGAAAACCATTCAAACATCAATGAACTGTCCTGTCCCTCCTGGGGCCCTCTTGGGAAGCCTCTTGGAGGCCTCTTGGGGCGTCTCGGGGCCCCCTTGGACGGACGGTCTTGGGCGGTCTTGGGGTCTCTTGGAGCGCTCTAGATCTAGCCATCGATATATCTGTATACGTAACACCATGTATATATACACGTATACATATATAGTTATATCCGTCTAGCTATGTATATCGCTGTTTGCATGGATGTCCATGAATACACACATTCATATACACATGTGCTTACTTATCTAAATGTTTAGACATGTTTCTATATATGCTTGTGCATGTATAACCATCTATGTCTGTGTATACTAGGCAGATCGTTAGGTTTTGATATATATATATATATATAGATGTATGTAGACACCGATTCGAATATATATATATATATATATATATATGTATGCATATATGTGTCTATACATTTATCTACATATCGGAGGTTGGGGGGTGAGATCGCAGTGAAATGGAGGCCTCCCACCGGGAAATCGGTTTCGGTTTCGTGTTCGTGTCGTGCGTGCGGGCGAGGCGAAGCTGCGCGTGATCCTCCTGTAGCTAGGCCGAAGTAGGAGCGAAAGTCCGTTCCCGTCCGCAAGTGGCTGGGAGGTGTCCCAGTTGGGCCGGGCGGTGTCCCGGGTGTCCTGGTTGTCAGTAGGAGCGAAAGTCCGTTTCCCGTCCGCCGGTGGCCGGGAGGTGTCCCAGTTGGGCCGGGCGGTGTCCCGGGTGTCCCGGGTGTCCCGAGTGTCCCAGCGCTAATGCATGTCGCTAATTTCAAAATTCATTTTGTTCGGCGCTTGCGGCGGGCTTTCTTATCCAATCCAGCTTATCTGATCCAATCCATTTTGTCCAATCCAATCCATCTTATCTTATCCAACCCATCTTGTCCCATCTTATCTGATCCCACCCAATCCAATCCACCCATTTGATTTCAATCTCCCCCAATCTCCTTATCGCCCGCAGGGCGGTGTATAGGTATCTATATATATATATATGTATCAATGAAACCAGGGCGCATAACATATGCAGCCCAACTGCAGAGAAGAGAGGGAAGGGTAGACCATCACGACCGACACACGGGCCATCCCGGACCTCCGAGGCCAAACCCCCACGAGTCAGGTCCAGGTGCGGCGACGATAGCCCACCAGCCAACGACGGCGGCCCCAGGCACACATCGTCAACGCCCCTTACAAGTAGGGCTCAGAGGGGGAGAACGATGCTCCACATCGGGGTCGAGCTCCGCCGAGTCCCCAAGGGCGATCCTGGGGAAGCGGAGCCAGCCCATCGGTCATTAGCGCCTTCGCGATGTCCTGTTCCTGCTCCTCCTCCTGCTCCTCCTCCTGCTCCTCCGCCTCATCCTGCTCCTCCTCCTGCTCGTCCTCCGCCTCGTCCCAGTCCCCCTCCTCCCCCTCTTTCCCCACCCTCCTCCTCCTCCTCCTCTCCTCCTCCTCCTCCTCCTCCTCCTCCTCCTCCTCCCTGGCACAGTTTGGATTTCCAAACGGTTGCTGCTCCTCCTCCCTGGGCCGCTAGACGGGGGCACGCAGGGGCAGGGGTGCAGCGACGAGGCACCGCCGCGCCGGCGGCGCGCAGGAGGATCTCCGCCGCCGCGCGGCCCTCCGCCTCGGAGCCGTCCTCGCCGTCCCAGCCGTGCGCCGCGAGCTCCAGCGAGGCCGGCGGGTGGCCGCCGCGCTCCCGCGCCGGCCCCCAGGGGGCAACGGCGGGGGAGGACGGGCCACGGGCTTCGTGCGGTTCCACAAATTAACGGGCGAAGAACGGTGTAAAATAAACTTACGGTGGCACCGTAGGGGTATAAACTTTCCAGCCGCCCAGGGACAGGCGCCCCCGACAGCGAAAACGTTTATCTTATGCCGTTCTTCGCTCGCTGAACAAAGCGGGCCCCAGGGGAAGGGCCCCAGGGCAACGGCAGGGGAGGACGGTGGTCGACTAGACGTAAGAGTGACCTTTCTCGCCGGAGTGACCTTTGGGTGCGGGCACAGATGGGTCCCCAGATGGCTGAAAACGAGGCAGGAACAGCGGCTTGCGCGCTTTCGCCGGAGTGACCTTTGGTGCGGGCACAGATGGGTCCCCAGATGGCTTGAAAACGAGGCAGGAACAGCGGCTTGCGCGCCCAGATTTGGTCCCGCCGCGGCCCCCAAAAAGCCGCGCACCAAAGGTCACTCTTACCCAGGGTCACTCTTGCGTGCAGCCGAGGACGGGCCACGGGCTTCGTGCGGTTCCACGAGGGGGCCCCAGGGGAAGGGGCTTGGGACGGGCGATGCCGAGTTTCTCAAGTCCGCTCGGCTTCGCCCCCCGCCGCGCTCCCGCGCTGGCCCCCAGGGGGCAACGGCAGGGGAGGACGGGCCACGGGCTTCGTGCGGTTCCACAAATCGGGCCGGACGAAAGGGGGGGATTGGGAAAGGGGGGGTTACGAAATTTGCTGCATGCAGCTGGTTTCGGTCTCACCGAGGGGCCCATTCCTCGATACATAGCTCCCTCCGGGCAACGACAGGGGAGGACGGTGGGCCACGGGCTTCGTGCGGTTCCACAAAGGGGGCCCCAGGGCAAAAACGACGAGTCGGCGGGTTTGGAGGATGTATTGGGCGCCGCGGCCGCTCCATGAGCGTTCCGGCACGCTCTGAGAGCGCTCCGGAACGCTCTGGAGCGATTTATCCCGATCCTAGCCCTGTTTTACAGGGGAAGGGGCTTGGGACGGGCGATGCCGATTTTCTCAAGTCCGCTCGGCTTCGCCCACGAGGTTGCCGCGTTGCGAGCTTTCACTGGCTCTCGTCGAAGTCTCAAGGTCCACGCCGCGTTCTCAGAAGTCCCCTTCGCTGGCGTCCCTCCAGGAAACGTATCAGGGCTCAGGTCGGGCCGAACGAAAGGGGGGGATAGGGAAAGGGGGGGGTACGAAATCTGCTGAGTGCAGCGGGTTTCGGCCCCGCCGCCGGGCCCAGTCCTCGATGCATGGGCGCCTCCCGGCGCCGGGAGGCGCCGGGAAAATCAGCTACGTGAGCTGATTCTCCCCCCACCCTTTGCTATCCCCTCCTTTCGCCCGGCCCGATCCTGGGCACAACGACCTGCTGGAAATCGAGGTTCGAGGTTTTCGGACGTGTGCGTGAGCCCTCGGCGGCTTCCCAGCCTCGGGGTGCCTTCAGCGGCTGCGCCTCCTCGAGAGCTTTCGGGGGGTGCTGGGATCACCCCGAGAGGCCGCCGGGGAGCCAAGTTATATGGTTCTCTACATGAGAAATATTCCAAAATAGTCAAAAATAGTCAGGGAACGATTTTTTAATATTTGTTGTTGCCATTTTTGAATGTTTGTTGTGCCCGACCTGATTGTATGGCTCGGGAGCCAGGGGGCGGCGCCTGGGGAGGGACGGGCTCAGTGGGGGCGGGACGCGTCGGCCCCCGATCGCCCACCCATCGCCGAGCGGGGCCCGACGATCCCCGCCCCGCCCAGGAGCTGTTTTTTTGGTCGCGGGCAGACGCGTGAAGCTGTCGCCGAGAGGGGGGTCTGGAGGGGCGGGGCGGGGGGCGGGTGGGGTGGGGGCGGGGGAGGCGCATCGGCTCCTCCCAGTTTGGGCGCTCCCGCAGGCCAGTGTGGGCTCCTAAGCGCGAGGCGGGCGCGCCTCCGGACCGGACCGCCCCTCGCCTCGCGTGGGGGGCGGGCTGGGTCTGCTGCCCATGGCGCCCGCCTTTTTTTTTGTTTGCGAGACGGGCGTGGCCGATTCAGAGCTGTCTGGGGCACGGGCCAGCCTAGTTAGCTGCAGAGCGACGCGCAAGACGGCCGGGCCAGCACTCCGAAGCGGCGGCCGAGGGGCGGCTGCTGGTGGAGCTGGCTGGGTGGTCCGCAGCGCCCAGGGAAGCTGATGCACCCCGCCCAGGAACGCGCTGATTCTTCGCTGTCGGGGGCCTCTCGCCGATCTGCCGGCGGTGCGTCGCCCGCCGATGCAGGCTCGATGACCCCCCCCCGACCTGGTCCCGCCCCGACGCTGCCGCTCGGCCCAGGGCCGCAGGTCGGCCGGCAAGGGGGTGGGCACCGACCCAGACAGTTTTTTTTTTTTTGTTGATTTGCGGGGTGAGAGCGAACCTCCTCCGCTAGAAGCTGAGCGAGCCGCGCACAGCTTGAATGCGCAGAGAGAGGGCGAAAGAAGGCGGGGCCTCACGGCGGCCGGGAGAGGGCGAAGCCCAGGGATCAGGCGGGCACCGACCCAGACAGGCGACGCGCTGGTATTTTGTTCAGTACCGGGTCACTGGAATGCCAGGGGCTCCTTTCCCTGGGACCGGCTGTACACCCTGAGCCGCTAGGCCCAAAACGATGAAAAAAACCTCCCGTTCTGATTTTTTTCGGTGGCGACCCCCCCGGGGGGGGGGTGAGAAGGGGCGGGCCTCTTCAGAAGGCTCAGAAGTCCCCAGGCCTTCCGAGAAGTTTTTTGAGCTTTCCCCCAAGGCACAGAGCATTTCTCGGAGGGCGCGAGGGCTTCAGAGAAATCCCGCCGCCTTCCGAGCATACGCCTTCTCCTTCTCGCTTCCCCCCCCCTCTCGCCGCCGATTCTCTTTCTCGACGCGAGCACGCCTGGGGATGTCCCGGGGCGCCTCCTCCGCCTCCTCCGCCTCCTCCTCCACCTCCTCCTCCTCCGCCTCCGCCTCCTCCTCCTCTGCCTCCTCCTCCGCCCTCCTCCTCCTCCTCCGCCTCCTCCTCCTCGGCCTGGCCGGGCTCGGCGGCGCCGCGGCGCCCCCCCCCCGCGCCGCGGAGGCCCCCGAGGGCGACCCGGCGGAGGCCGCGCGCGCCCAGCAGCGGGGGCCTCAGGGGGGCGGCCCGCGCGCGCGCGCGCGCTGCCGGGCCAGGCCGGCGAGGAGGAGGGAGGAGGAGGGAGGAGGAGGAGGAGGAGGGAGGAGGAGGAGGAGGAGGGAGGAGGAGGAGGAGGAGGAGGCGGAGGAGGAGGCGGAGGAGGAGGAGGAGGAGGAGGAGGCGGAGGAGGAGGAGGAGGAGGAGGCGGAGGAGACGCAGGGATCGGCGCAGACGCGTCGGCCACGCGCAGTACAACGACGCGAAGATCGGGACAACATCGGATCGGGATAGCTCGAAGTCTCTGAGAGTCGGCGGGTTTGGAGGATGTACTGGGCGCCGCGGCCGCTCCAGAGCGTTCCGGAACGCTCTGAGAGCGCTCTGGAACGCTCTGGATCGATTTATCCCGATTCTAGCCCTGTTTCACCCCTCGCGCTGCGAAGGAGTCTCGGGGGCGGCAGGGAGAATCTCGGGGGCGCCACGAAGCCTGGGGAAATATCGTGGCGTGGGCCATGATTCAAGGGGGGAAAAAAACACAGACACAATGAATCGACGATCCCCAGGCAAATATGGGAAAATATGGGAAGTGGGGGGGAAGACAAAAAAACCCAAATATGCGAAAATATGGGGAATCTTTTTATTTGTGTGTATTTATTTGTGTGTCTCAGGGCCCCTTCAATGATATTTCCCCAGGTTTCATGGCGCCTCTTCTTATTTCATTACTTCCCTGGCCCCCCCCTTGGGCCTCCCAGCCATGACTTGCACCCCCTGCCTCTTGCACGCCCCCCTCTTGGCCGTTCCCAAAAATCACGACTGGAAGGTTTTTCCAGATGTTCGGCCTCCGGGGGCCCTCACCGGACCTCGGGACCGTCAAAAAACGACTCAGGATGAAAAGCTGGTCCCGGGCAAGCGGTCTGGACCTCTGGGGGTCGTCGTCATGAAAAACTCACGACGCCTGGATCTGGGGGAACAAGGGGAGGGGGCGGAGCTTCTCAGAATCATTCCTGCTTCTCAGAAGGCGCTGGCCCTATCTGTTGATGTGAGGCCGGCGCCTTCTCGGAAGCAGGCTCCTCCCTCTCTAAGAAGCCCTCCCCCCTTCCCGGGCCCAACCGCCTCGTGCGCGCGCTGACTCGAAATCGTTTAACCGATCCCCATCTCCATCTCCGTCCCCTTCAAGACCCCCCCCACATTACCACCCCAGTTGGGGATACACCCCTCGAAACCCGAAGGGAACGGCCTATGTCCCCATCCGGGGGTAAATGGTCCAGTGGGGCCCAGGCCACGCCGCTGGGGATGGGATCTCCAAGAAGCCTTCCCCTCCTCCTGGGCCCAGCCGCCTCGGTGCGCGCGCTCGCGGGCCAGCCGGAGGTGATCGACGGAGACGCGGCCCCTCAGATCCGGGCGCGGCAGCGTTTTCATAACTCAGGAGGAAAATAATCACACAGACACAATGAATCCTCGATTCCCCAGAAAATATGGGAAAGTAAGGGCAGTGGGGGGGAAGACAGAAACCCAGAAAATATGGGGAAATATAGGGAATCTTTTTATTTGTGTGTATGTATTTGTGTGTGTACTAGGGCCCCTTCAATAACGGGCGTCGTCGCTGGGCGTCGGGCCCCATAGGGCCCTCACAGATCGAGCTGGCTCGAGAAACGACGCAGAGAGATGGGGTGCCAGCCTGCAATTATGGCGGGCCTGTCCCCCTACAGGGGGATTTTCGAGGAAAAATAAAAAAGCACCTAACAAATACACCAAAAAGGTCAACAAATACTCAAAACATAGTCCCTAGACTATTTTTGGAGTATTTTTGGATTATTTTTGGGGTATTTTTTGTTTTTCGTCGAAAATCCCCATGTAGGGGGACAGGCCCGACTTTCGCCTACAAGGTGTTGCTCGTGGGGAAGGCAAAGGCGATCGTGCTTCTCTCTCTCTCACTCTCTCTCTTTCTCTCTCTCTCTCTCTCGCTCTCTCTCTCTGTCTCCCAAGAACAACACACACACCCATAGGGGGGTCGGAGGGAGGACTGGCTATGGGTATGGGTGCGGGTTGTCGGATCTCGTGGGAGGCCCCCGTTCGAGCGGGCACCCCCATCCGACAACACGCGCCCACAGCTCTTTCCGAGCTCCCCATGGGTATGGGTGCGTGCTGATCGTTCGTCATCTCCTTCTCTTTCTCATCTCCCCCCCTCTCTCTCTCTTCTCCCTCTTCCTCTCCCTGTCACCTTCGCTCCCTCGCTCTCCCTCCCTCCCCTCCCCTCCCCTCCCCTCCCCTCCCCTCCCCTCCCCCTCCCCTCCCTCCCTACCCCCATCCGTTCCCTCGTTGCCGTCTTCGTCCGCGTGCAGGCTCCGACACCGGTGGCCTGCCGCCGACCCGCTCCGCGCCCCGACCCCCGCGCCCGCCCTCCCTCCCTCCCCTCCCCTCCCTCCCTTCTCTCGTTGCCGTATTTGTCCGCGTGCAGGCTCCCCTTCCCTCCCTCCTCACTCCTCTCCCCCTCGCCTACCCTCCCCGCCCCTTCTATCCCTCCCTCCCTCCCTCCTCTCGTTGCGGTCTTCGTCCGCGTGCAGGCTCCGACACCGGTGGCCTTCACCGCCGACCCGCTCCGCGCCCCGAAAGCCCCCGCCTCTCCCGGCGTCCGCGCGTGCCCTCGGCGCCGAGAGAGGTGGTACCCGCACGGCAGCGGGCACACCACCATCAGCCTGTGGTGCGACAGCAAGGCCCAGCGAGGGGGGAGCGAGGAGGAGCGAGGAGGAGGAGCGAGGAGGAGGAGCGAGGAGGAGGAGGAGGAGGAGGAGGAGGAGGAGGAGGAGGAGGAGGAGGAGGGAGGGGAAGGGGAGGAGAGGAGGAGGAGGGAGGAGGAGGAGGAGGAGTAGGAGGAGGGGGAGCGAGGAGGGTGAGCGAGGAGGTGTGGGCGAGGAGGAGGGAGGAGGAGGAGGAGAGATGAGGAGGAGTGAGGAGGAGGAGGAGGAGGAGGAGGAAGGAGGAGGATGACGAGAAGGAGGAGTGGAGTGGAGTGGAGCAATCGGACGTAGTCCGTTCGGAACCCAGAGATGCCAGGGGGGCCATCCAGTATTTCTCGGAGGGCCGTGGGGGGCGACATCCCACGGCCCACCGCGACAGGCCCCCCTGGCCTCACAATTTACTCGGAGGCAGCTCCCGCCGCGAAGGAACCGATCGCGGCTTCGGCTGCCGAAACGTGCAAAGCCTCTAGCACTGACTTGCTGGGACCCGATCTGGACGGGTGGAGGCCTCGCCTGATCCTGCTGAGGTTCTCGAGGCCTTTGCCAGTGGGTCCCAGGGCCCTGCGCTCTCCCACTTGGTGGGAGAGAGGGCACGGCAAAAGTAGGCTTTTAACCTGGTGCGTGGTCCTATGGCCGCACTTAACACAGAAGAACAATTGCCACTTGGGGATGGTGGCCAAAGTGTGGGAGGGGTGGATCAACTTGCCACTGATCACGCGGGGACCCCTCGACCACAGCACCTCTCCACACGCAGCGAACTCGGGAAGGGGGCAAGGCGGCACACACTCTGTGGCGGCAGCTGGAATAACGTGGCAAGCGTCAACGATGATGAGGCAGGCAGAGCATCTCCATTTGTCTGCACACCGCTCGAATTTGTGCTGAGAAGCCGCGATCGCGGTCTGCAACTGAGAGCGAGGGGCTGCCTCCTGGGTGGATTGCCTCTCTGGCCACAGTCCTCGAGGCTCTGAATTCTTGCCTAAAGAACGTAAAATCAGTCGTGCCCTCTGTCGGACGATGGCTGCAATAGCGTCGTATTCATCGGTCCTGGGGACGGGCGGGAGGGCAAGGGTGGCCGACTTGTGGGCCGCGCTTCCCGCAAGCTCGTCGGCATGCTGGTTGCCGAGAGCCAGAATTTTTTGGAAACCATGCAACGTGAGGGGATCGGC